TTTTTTTCTCAGCATAAAATATTAAACCCCTTCAGAACTGACTGTTGGGGAAGAAGGTGTGAAGTCCTTCCTGAGAACAGACCCTTTGCCAGCTCCCAGACCAGCAGGGAGATGAACATGGATCTGATTTCACAATGCAGGGCTTTCTGCTTATCATCTTGTTCCCATGGGCTTCTCTGTGGGAAACAAATCTCTGAAAGGGAAAGTTGTCCAATGTGATATTGGGATTTCTCTTAAGCACTGGCTACTGAAGGCAGCGGGAGCCCAGGGAAGCCAAAATTGCTTTTGAAAGCTGTTCCAGTGTTGCCTGGGGATTTTGTATGTCTTTATTTTCCATCTCCTCCCAGTAACGTATGGCAATAAAATAAGATCTAGTGTTAGGAAATTGCTCTGGAGTTAACTCAGTTTTTTTTTAAAATTTAAAGCGATTCCTGAATGTCTGTGTTCCTGGTACTTTATTCCAAATGTAACTTCATTTTGGCTTAATGTAATTCCTTGAATTAAGTAAGCAAAAAACAGCTGTGTACCAGCATCTGAATATTTCTATCCTGGACCGAGTACTGTGGATTATTTTATTCCACATTAACTATTCCAGCAAATTCTCCTATGAAAAAAAAATGTTTAATGGAACTGTGGAAAGAATTAAAACCTTTTTTTTCCCTAGTAAATCAAAGCATCACTGTAACCTCATTGAATTGCTTCATATTTTCCCAGACCGAGGAACTAAAAGGGTATTTTGGATAGAAAATTCTGTTATGCTGACATTTATAAATGCCAGTCTTTTTACCAACCATCTTTTTTGCAAATCCTCTACTCTGTTTAAAAGCCCTCATTTTAATTTGAGAAGCAAGAAAGATATAGCAATAACTTCCCTTTTTATAACAAAATTGTGCTGGCATTTTGTGCAGCTGAGCTGAGTCTAAGGTGTATTTCCTTGGTTCTTTTTATGTCCTCAAAATGAAGTTTCTGATCTCCATTTCCCACATGTCCATACAGGGGACCAGGTACCAGGGAAGCTGGAAGACCTTCTTGTCAATCTTCTTGTCACTCGCCTATTCCCACGACTGTAATTGTTGAAGATATTAACCATTTTTCAGACGTGGCTACTCGACACAAAGCTTTCAGGAAACCAAACCAGAAATCTGCAGAGCTGGAAAGTTGATATTGGCTGAGAACAGCAGGTATAGCAGTGAGAAAATCTTCTTGATAACCTGGGGCTGCTCCAGGACAGAAGGAAAGGTGCCTCCACTGCCAGGACTGCCCCATCAGCCACACCACACCGGCCATGAAAACATGGCAGGCTCTTCTCCAAGGGTTAAAGTTTTAAGTCACAACTTTCACTGCAGTTTGCACTTATGCCTAATTAACTCAAAATTAATGGTCCAGCACCTAGTCCAACAGTTATGCTCAATGGTGCAGAAAAAAAAATCTCTCTTTTATGTTCAGGATAATACTTTTTTCCTAGAACAGTGTTGGTTAGTCTTGAAGACCAAAGAATTGTAAGCATAACTTCAGTGTATACACTTATTTTGCTTTTGTTTCTTGTGCAATTGTTGAGCCTTTCCTAAGTATTGGAAAAGCTAATCCTTCAATTTCCATGTCTTTACAAGTTTCATTTAAAAAAATAAATAAACATTTTTTAAAAAAATAAATAAACAACGTATTCAGCTGCATTCTTACAAAATCCCCATCCAGATACTCAGGTGGAGTAATGAGAAAGATTAAGTTAATGCTTCTGTGGCTGATTACTTGATTTGAATTTCAGGCTTTTCTGAAAGGCTAAACTTGAGGAGAATATCTATTTATTCAAAACGGTTGCTATTTCATATGTGTCTTATTTTAATACTAATGAGTATTTGTATTTTAAACACAGTCTTTACAGATGGTAACTCCTATTCAAAGCTGTAACTGATGGGTAGAAATATATGATCAGTCCTTGAAGTAATTGGAATGATTTCCCTTGGCACCAGATCTAGCTATTAATCAATAATTTGGATATATTACCTAATACCAGTCAGAAAGAAAAACGCTTTAAGCCACCTACAGAGTGCTCAGGTATCTTGTAATGTAAATCACTGTGCTTTATTTTGGGTCTAAATCAAGAGCTGTACCAGTTAGACTTTTGTATCAGAGACTTTTTACAAGGGCACATAGTGACAGGACGAGGGGGAATGGTTTTAAACTGAAAGAGAGTAGGTTTAGATTAGATATTAGGAAGAAAGTGCTTACTGTGAGAGTGGTCAGGCACTGACACAGGTTTCCCAGAGAAGCTGTGGATGCCTCATCCCTGAAGGTGGTCAAGGCCAGGCTGGATGGAGTTCTGAGCAGCCTGGTCTAGTGAAGGTTGTCTCTGCCCATGGCAGGGGATTGGAAGGAGATGATCTTTAAAGTCCCTTCCAACCCAAACCATTCTATGATAAATGAGGGAAATTTTTGAAGCTGAGACTTTCCAGCAGAGCTGTAGGTCTTGGAGGGCTTGATCCTTACCCTGAAAGAAAGCAAGGTGTCATTACTGCAGGTGTGATGTGACTGAAGTGATGTTGGCTGAGCTTCCAACACCAGCTTGCTTTCAGACAAACCCGGTTTCTTATGAAAAGTTAATTGGAAACGTAAATGCTGCCTGTGAGAGCAATCTATTTTACAAAACACGCCAGATGCTCCCCCTGGGAGGAAAGTGGCTGCTGCAGAGGTTAATGGAAGGAAAGTTGTGCTGGCAGCATGCAGCTCAAGATGTGCCCACCAGTAATTGGTGTCATTTGGTGATACAGAAAAACTACATTTCAAAGACATTTCAAACCAAAAATCTGGCTCCATGGTCATCTCACAGTTATTTTCTGTCCATTAGATCCAGCTCTTAGTGACCAAGGACAGATTGGGTTCTTAGTTTGTGGAAGGATGATGGAGAAAAAAAGACAGCCAATACTGCTGACTTCATTTACTCCTGCCAAGGAGAAAATGTGGGTGAAAAGGATTCCCCGAATTTTGTAATGCTGCAGCTATGGCAGTAAATAGAAACGGTCGTTGGGAAAGATTGCAAGAATAGAAGTAATTATCATCAGTCATCAGACTCTGGGAAAGGGAAATAACCCACTACGTCAGCTTATCCAAGTCTTTTGGCGTATCTGAAACTGCAGCAGGAGGCAATCACAGTGCTCCCTTGCTTCATCCCTATTCGCAAGAAACACATCCCCGTCTCTCTGGGAGAGATTAAACTAGGAACTGTGGCTTAGTTAGGAACACACATGTACTCTAAATAAAATTTTATTGAATCTTGGGCAAATTTTAGGTGAAAGTTAAAGCTGTTCAAGCAAGAACAGTTAAAGTCCTTGCTTTAATCGGAACTGTCTGGCCCCAGTCAAAATGTAAGTCCGGTAACTGCAGTCAGTAACAACACCAGCTGCAGCTGCTGCTGCTGAGTTGTGCCTGCTGCCAGTAAAACCTTTTCTCTGTTACTGGTAGTGCCTGAGGGGGCAGAATATTTATAAAATACACAGCAAGAAAGGTGCTGCAACAAACAAACTTAAAACTAACCTTCATCTCAAATATACTGGATTCTTGACTAAGTCAGAATCCTAACTAGTTTGGGAAGGTGTCTCTGTTTGATGATATTGAAATATTGTAAAAATCAGCACCTTCAGCTGGCTACCTTAATCAATGGTAAAATGTCTCCTGGCAGTGGACTTGTCATCTAATATTTGCCTTATAAAAATCAATACACTGTAGGCAGTGTTTCCTATCCCATAGCAGCGTGGGTTTTGCTTATTCTGAAAACTGCACTCGTCATCGGAAAGCTACTAAATAAATGAAGATGTACTGCTGGAAGATATGAATTTGCATCAGTGCTTTTCTAGCTCTGTTTGGAAACTAGGTAAGCTGCTTTTGGAAAAGGAGGGTGCTGAGCAGCTTTATCCATTGACTCTTCTGCCCATTTGCATTATGCCAATGACTCAGATCAGGTCACATTACCAATGTACTGAAATTATTTCCAGACCATAATTGAACCTTGTACCTCCCAACAAGTCTGTTAAGCGTCAGTAGGTACTCAGGTGATCTGTAATGTGAAACCATTTATTGGCTGTTAAACCAGCCAACCAGCCCTTCTCTTTCCTAATGACTGACCCAAGCTGCCCCTTCTGTGTTTGGGCATCACCAGATTCACAGCTTTGCTGGTGATATCTACCATTTCAGCTGCTCCCACAGTCTGTAAATGTCTCCTGATGTGCTGCTCTGTGACCCATCTGGCTGGGTTATCAAGGAAGGAGGAGCTGAAAATCAACAGTGCCATTTCCAGACGAATGACATTCCTTGTAAAGAGGCTGGTGATGCACCAAAGGAAGGTGGAGGTGGAGTGCAAAGGGGAGAGTATGACAAAACAGTGACAAGGGACGTGAACCCTGACGTCAGCCAGCCACGCCTTCCTGTAGTTCAGGCCATGGGCCCTCCCCAGTGTGTTCCTCTCTTACCCATCACCCTCATCTGAGTGTCTGCAGGGTAAGTTGGGTCAGTGATCTGATCCCATGGGAAACAAGCCCACCAAAAAAAGAACAATTTCCTGCCCAACCAGCTTGCTCATCCAGCTTCACAGCAGCTGCACAGCTGCTAAATCAGATGCGAGGGCAGAGAGGGACGTGCAGGGACCAGGGAGGGGAGGGAGCGGGGGAGCGTGAGTGTCCTGCTTCCTGGTAAAGCAGCTGCTGTTGGTACGTCAGACCAAAGCGTAACACGAACTCCATATCCTTTGTCTGAGCAAACTTTCCTGAATCCATGCAGCTAGCAACACCCAATGGAAAGCTCACTGAGTGGTGATGCTGTCCCAGCAAAGGCCATATCCTGTGCCCTGTCAGTCACTCGGTGTGGTGGCACTGGGAAGGATGTGACCAAACAGCTGTCACCCAGCTGGTGATGTCACTCAAGGTCCTTTGATACTCACATTAACAACGTGTTGAGATTTAAAAAAAGATGCCCAAATGTGGCTGGTTTTGGTAAACTGCTATTAAAACAACCCTGTGTATTCATTTGTGGTTATGTCAGTTCCACAAGTGGCTTGTTCCAGGAAAATGTAATTTGGGCCATATTAAGTCCCACAGGCACAAGTTATGCTTTGTTGTCAGTAAAGCAGCAAAGCAGCTGCATTATTTCTGTCCTTGAGGAGTGCAAGCAGTGATGCTCCTGCCACCTCCTTTTGATCTGAAGGGAGGAATATTTCCTATCTGCTGGCAATCTGCTAGCAGCTACACCCACACTTCCTTAGTGACAGTTCACCCACGCAACTCTATTGTCCGTGGCACTGAAACCATACAAACCCTGCAGCTGACATGTTCTTTGCATGTAAACAGTACTTTGGTCTCCTCGTACTTGTTTGTTTCTGGTGGCACCAATTCCTGGTCTTCCGGTTGTCACCAGCAGCACCTGCCCAAGCCCAGCCTTCCACTTAGGCAGCTGTGGGAGATGCTCCACCAGTCTGCACTTACTCAGAGGAGCTGCTGCTGTCTTTAGGCATTATTTCATAACTTGTTGCCTTGTTAGTGACTGCCATGGTTGTTAGTCACTTACTACTTCCTAGTGGAAAATGTGTTCCTCACAGACTCCTCTGCAAGTCCACACTGATTCCACCTGCTCATGTGAAAACTGAGATGAGTCTCCCATCCTGAAGCTGCCACTAAAACCTTTGTTTGGAGGTGATTCACAGGGTTGAAGCAAATGCTTGGCAGGTCTGTCCCCTTCGCTAGTGGCCAGCCATCCTCTACAACGTCCTGTTTTGACCATGCTGCCAGCCACGTGGCTGGCCTGGTGGGAATGCTCTGTCTTCCCTAGGGAAGCCACTTCCCGTGCCGAGGGTACTTCTCTTCAATCCCAGTACTCCTGTAATTATGCTAAGCTGCTGGGCTGGAGTCATACTCCTGTTCTAAAAACAGACCGGTCACTGCTGCAGGGCTGTTCCAGAGAGGCTCACCATCCTCTGAGGTTTCTAGGTGCTACTTTTGGGAGCTGGCTATTGCAACCTGATTATAGGCATAGTCCCTGCTTTGCTGTTTCAGTTACACTGCATTAGCTGAGACCTTCTGGATGCTCTAGATTGGTATAATTGCCCTGCACAAAGCTGAGGATCTCTATTTAATATTTCCTACTATATTGCTGTGCCTCTTTTATGTGTCACTTAATGAACAATCAGTGATTTGGTTTCCCCATCTCTATCACAGAGTGAGGCAGTGGGGATGAACCTGCTGGGGGCTGTCCAGCCCCTTTTTCAGAGGAGGCTGGAGAAGGGCTGTAGTTATCCCTGGATGCATTGGCAGCCAGCTGGGCAATGATGACATTTCACTGATCTAGTTCTCCCTCTGCAAACCCTTGGCTCTGCAGAGGGCGGGAGTTCAGTGGTGTACTGGGGTTATTTGACACCAGGTCCAACACCTTGCTCAAACACTTCATGAACATTGTAAAAAACCAGACTTTGCTCAACTAGGCTTTAGGTAATAATTGCTCCAGGTTAAATACTACAGGCACGCTGCAGGAGAGGTGCATTAGCTGGGGTGTGGGGTACAGCTCATATAGT